GGAGTAGTAGTAGTAGTAGGTAGTAGTAGGTAGTAGTAGGTAGTAGGTAGTGGTGGTAGGAGTAGTAGTAGTAGTAGTAGTCGTCGTCGTCGTCGTCGTAGTAGTAGTAGTAGCAATAATGGTAATAACAATAATCGTAAGGAAAACAATGGTAAGGATATACTCACAGACGGTTCTAGACTTCGCTCTTCAAGACAAATTTCTCATGTGAAAGCCACAGTACATGCACGCAGACTTGTAGGAACGGATGGATTGAAAAGCAGATGGGTACATGGACAAGCATACAACTGAATAAAGAGACAGGCAAACATGTTGATACTAAAAATCCTACATGGTGTTAGCATACTATAAGGCCTTAATTCCCACGGTATAAAATACGTAGGGTGATGCAGGATTCTTAGCCCAAATCGCTATTATACCCTAAACCTAGACCCTAATAGGAGCCTGGACTTTTGAGAAAGCTACCATGGATGATCGGAGCATCATTTGAGCTAATGTCAATAGGGCTTGGACTTTAGGGTTTGGGGTTTCCCGAAATGAGGGGACACCAAAATACAGCCTGATGTACTATATTCCTCAGTATGGAGGGGCCAGGTACTCCTAATTTTGGGAAACCCCCATACTTCGCGTATTTTCGCATAATACAAATCAAATGGCCAAGGAATTGGAAAAATGAAACGGACACTGAGATTATGTAGGGGATTGGAGGAATGAATCTTTCCCATATAATTTACTGGATATGGGGGTCCATTATCGGGGAATATATTAATTAGAGACTATACTAAACTACCAGAGAAAGCCTTAGGTGCAACTTTAACTGGTTCCTAGGTAACGATAATATTCCCGTGTAGGCCTATTGGATTAGAATAGCGCTTGAGGGTGTATTCTACTATACGTACAATGACGGAATAGCTGTGGTAACTTGTTCAGGCTCCTGCAATATGTTTGAGATCCATGTTCCTGGTAAGCTTCCCGTGCGAAACCCAAACTCTGAACCCTAAACCCTAGACTCCTAAACACTAAACCCCTAAACCCTGAAGCCCTAGATCCTGAAACCCAAACTTCAAGCGCCGCCACGTGACGTGGGCCGTAGCCCTTTGCAAGGTAGAAGACCAGTTGCGGGGAGGCCCCCAAGCGCTCTGAGAGCCTGAGAGGGTTTAGGGTTTAGGATTTAGCGTTTAGGGTTTGGGGCTTAGGATTTAACGTTTAGGGTTTAGGATTTAGGGTTTGAGGATTTAGAATTTAGGGTTTAGGATTTAGGGTGGAAGGGGTTTAGTTGGAGGTTTCCCAAAATAAAGGGTACCTTTTTGGGGGTTAAGGACTCCCCTTCATGAGACTTGGACCCTGAACCCTTACAGACATAACTGCTTACGCTAACTCCTAAACCCTATATCCATTATTTATAGTTGACCCATGATTTCGGGGATGAACCCTATAGGATGGAAGCCAAACCTTGATTGAATCCACCATCCACTTCAACCTGTCTGGAGAAAAAAGCAGACGAAGCGAATAGCGACTCCGCAGAGCAATCCAAACCCATCGGAAGGGATGGCTTATGGGATTCAAGATGTAGAGGGGCTCTACAATCTACGCAAACCCTACACCCTAAACCACCAACTGGGTTGCTATTAAGGGACTTAATTTTAGTCACCATGCTGGGGAAACCATTATTTACTACATATACCCATTATGGTAACTTAATTTAAGTTCCTTAAGCCCTAAACCCCAAACCCTAAACCCTAAACCCTGAACCTTAACAGCAACCCAAGCAAGCTGAGGAATTACAACCTTGGGATCCTTTCACGGCTAGGGCATGACGTTGTGACTCCCCCGGCAAAACTCAGGCCAACCTTGCCAAGAGTCAGAATAAAAATAGAATATTGTAGGGTTTTTTTTGACAATATTATAGGGTTTAGGGTTTAGGGTATTGGGGTTGATGGAAAAGGAAAATGGAAACTACTATTTAGGATTACATGTAGCGAAGGTGTAGCCACAAAGGAGAGTGAGCTCTGAATTATGCGCAGCCGACCTTAAATCTGGAAAAACAAGGGGAGCAGAAAGAGCCTGCTGATAATGGTCCTGGTGAAAATGATGACGATGATGCTGATGAAAGGGAAGGCGACGCTGACGGTGATGGTGGTGATGGTCATGATGGAGGGGGGATGACGGCGGCGACGACGACCAACAAACATGTCACAGTGATGGCAAGCGATGACATGCGAGCCTGGGTTCCTGTGAAGGAACTTAAATTGAGTAACTATAATGGGTATATATCGAAATTGATATATGGTTCCCTCAATATAGTATTTCAAATTAAGTTCGTCAACAGCAACCCCGAAGCCCGTGACAGTTTGAGCTGGGCAGCTTTCCCGCCAGCTGCTTCGTTGCAACATCAGCTTCGATCTGGGCATGCGCGTGGCTGTATGGATCTCTCTCAATGACGATAGCTTTCCTCCTGGTCACTAGTTCATTCTCTGAAGGGCGAAACACGCGCACAGTCTTCAAAGAAAGCGGCACACAAAGTACAATCGCATGCTGTAAGCTTAAACTGTGCTTAGATAACAAAAAGAGCCCAATCCTGGCTGTGATTCTGCTTACGTGTGCGCCCTTACGACATCATCATACAACATGAACATGTGTAAAACATCGCTCTGGCACGGCATCATCTTTACGCCTGAAGATCCCTAAGTTACCAGCTCCCCTTCAACTCCCGAGCTAAACCCTGTACCTTGAAGCTTTTGATGATGCTGTAGGATGTCTAAACCCAAGTTTGCAAAAGGTGAGAAGTGACTTCTCCAGAAAGGCATCCTGCATGCTCTCTGAGACCCAGCGATGAGCTTGGCCATAAGTTCTGGAAGTGGCCCATCCCACTTGGGTGTTATTTGGGTTGTTCTACAAATTATGGACCCTTTTTGGTTATATGTTATGTCAGTGCACTTAATATTCAGGGGTACCATAGTGGGACCCTAACTTTGGGAACTACGCATTGGATTAAAATCCTTTCATCCTGGTGATTTGCACCCTCACCCCGGCAACCGGCTATGACAACTTACGGCCTCGAGACTTGTCCCTACACCCAATTCTTGGCCCTCGCCCCTCATTAACAGATCATGGTACTAGATTGGGATTAACCGATTAACCTCTAAACCCCATGAATAACCCCTGATTCAGTATAAAACCTGATTCATCAATCAAGAGATTGTCAGTTGAGGGCTGCGCCTCCCCCGTCACAAGCCCGCTAGCACTGGCGTGGCCTTCAGCCATGCCAATTGATATAAGGTCGATGGTACAGATTTTAGGAGGCTACTGGAAATTATCAAGGGGAAGGTCGAAGCGCATTTATCCATGCATGCATGTACGATTGCCACGCAGAATTGTGATACCTCTTTTTTTTTCCTGGATTACAACATAACATTTCAGACTGTTTTGGAAGGAGTGGATGAAAATACCAAGTAGCATCAGGAAAACATTGTGTAAGGAACGTTCTCTCGGGGTACTCTAGAAGGTTCATGGGAAGTCTTGTGCAAGGCCAGTTCTGTCAGGGCAACGCTCATACTCGCAGCTCTTCCAAATTGTGCTTTTGCCTCACCCTGTCAAAAGCACTCTCCTACCCTGAAATGTTGAATGAATCCCTAAACCCTAAATCCTTAAACCCTTAACCCTCAACCCTAAATCCCTAAACCCTCAATCCTAATGCAACTCTGAAGCCCCAAACCTCCCTCCCCAGACCCTGTCTCAACCTGTGAATCCTTCTTGGAGGTTCAGGGTAACACAAAACCCACGCATAACTGTACACATCACACACTGGTAAGTCCCCAAAATCCCCGAAGTCTGATTGTGGTTGGGTTACAACTAATGACAATAAATTATGACCTTTCTCGCACACACACTGGTAAATCCTCAAAGTCCCCCAAGTATGGTCACAGTTGGGCTACAACACATGACTACAACTCCAAGTGGGTTACAACTACCTGAACCTTCAACTATGTAACCTACCACAGTCAGGTTCCTTAAGGCCTCTCAGCCCGACTAGCCGCGGCCGCAGACGAAGGGCCCGGGCAGCACGCATGGTGGAGGCTTCAGGCCCGGGGTTTAAATATGGATACTGTAAGGGCCTACATAATTCACGGAGTGAGGTCTAACAAAGACTATGGTTGTACAGGAAATCCAGAAGCATCGTAGTGGAATTTGTTCTGGCCCTGTATTATCTGGTGCTGATGCCAGAACCCCTTCAGCCTCCGGAGGTTTGGCATCTCGCTACAAGCTTCCATGGCTTATCAAGGTCACCACGCAAACAAAAGTTTTCGTTTAGCCAGGCTCTGGACCTAATCTTCCGAAGCCGCATGGTAAAACTCTTGCGAGCAGCTTGCATTTACGCGGCCAGGCTCGGTGTGGGTCTGACAATGAAAGTTTGCCTGGGCCTTAGCTGGCTGGCGGCGGCAGAAAACTCCCTGGTGCTTGGGAGGAATTGGATTATAAGTTATAAGCATTATTATTGGGGATTATATAGGGACTACTATAGGGATCCATCCCCCATTCCCTCGTAAGCACCAGGGAGCAGAGCTCAACATCCAGCATGCCACAACTGAGCACCGGGGCCCGTGACTCTGTAGAATATGAGTTCAGTGTCAACCAGGTGAGCGCTCAGAAAAAAAGCCTTGTTTCCGATCGGCACTCGGGCTTCGCTTGGTCTGACCTTGCAAGTATCCTGCGCAATCACTGGACACAGGCTGACATGCTTCCGGGCAGATTGAGCGGTTCCAAAACCGTTTCAATGCAGCACCGTGCTCATAGTGAGCAGGGCGAAACATCCTCCTCGCATGACATTGGTTCAGAAGCGTGGCACACGGCAAGTTCGACTCGCTGATCGCTCCAAGAGCGAAGAGTGAACTCTGGTCGCTATACAAAGCCTACTTAGCAGGCGCAGCCAGCCGTGGCGGCTGTCCACACATGACATGCGAAATCATGCGGAGGGTTGGAGGATGCAGTTTACAGATAAATTAGCACTGCCTGCAGCGATACTCTACGCACCAGGAGCCTCCCCAAGGTCCCTGCACCCAGTCAACGCAGTCCCGCCCGCACCGGCATGGGTCTCGGCATGGGCGGCAGCCTGTTCCCCACAAGTTGGTGCCGCACCTGCAGTACAAGAGGTTGCTGCTTGGCATCACGCCGCTGTCCCAGTCCAGGAACTCCGCCTCTGCCTGCTTGGCTTCAGCTGGGGGTGCCATCAGGGACTTTGCCTGTTGAGTCTCCGAACCGCGCAGGTTGCCTTGTGAGCAGGCCTGGCACATGCAGGACTGGCCGACATCGAAGGTGTGCCACTTTCCCAAATCCTTCTGGCACTTGGCCCCGCAAGGGCAATGGATCAGGTTGCCCAAAGCCGCAGGGGTAGTTGCTGTGGTCTCGTTCTTGGCTTGGCTGCCCTGAATGGTCACCAACAGGACCAGCACGAGGCGAAGGGCCATGGCTGAAGAATCGGTTGGGATCTGTGGATCGCGGGCCTTCGGGAATAGAGCAGCAAATGCTACCGAGAGAAAGGCCGTCTGTACCACTGCATCGCTACTACTAGGCGCTCAAGCATGTGGTGAATGAAGCCAGCCTGCATGTCATCAAACCTAGTTCCACAAAGGGGCAACTTGTTTTTTCACGCTACTAAGCATGTCACGTACCTAGACCGGCTCGTCTGTGGCGGAGACGGCACAGCATCGCACGGTGTTGTGCCTGCTTGCAGGGCTTCGACATTTCTGTGCACTAGTTTGCCGCTTAATGGACAACAAAAATGTTGTTGCATGTAAACCTTCGTCGGTCATTCCCACCATGACAGCTTGTCAATATAGGTGTACGGTCAACCCCATAGAAGGTGGGGACCCCACAGATGTGGGCTCTCACATTCTTGGCTTAAGGTTGAGACTTACGCCTGTAAGCATCAGTTCTGGAATCCCTCTTGGGTGTTATTTGGATGAAACATAAGTGTATATGTGGTAAACCGCTATGACCTCTTGCGGCCTTGGGCCAATTCTTGGCCCCCGTCCTCGCATCACCAAATCTACCACATAGTGACCAATAACCGACATCATGCTAGTAGTTTTGGGGCTTGGGGTGGTTGGTTGATTGGAGAAATAAATTGTCATTCGAGGGCTGGACCTCCCCAGTCACACGCGCACCAACACCAGCGTGGCCTTCAGACATTGACGGAGGCTTGAGGGTACAGGGCTTAGGGGTACCCAGGGAGGCTTGGAGGTCAATGGGTTCAAGGATTATGAAAGGGCAGAAGCTGGCTGAACGGTTTTTGCAAAATTATATGGGCATGTAGAGTTTAAGCGGATTCATCCGGCATTCATGTACGAGTCCCAGACGCCATGTCATTCCGTCTTCCGGATGACCTGAAAACAACTGACCCGGAACAGCGGGATTATTCCCAGATCGAAGTATTTCACATGCTTAGATTGAACGAGAATAGCGACTAGCATAACGATCTACAGTATATGAAGAACGCTTTCTCACTACTTACCTCCCTGAATCCTCATGTTCCACCCTGTTTGTTGAAGAGGCCCTCTATAATGTGTGTTTGGGATCCCCGTCATTCAGGATCAGGCCCTAAACTAGAAAGCCCCCCCCCAATGGTTGCTTCTGAGACCCTAGTCTATAAGAATCCAGACCATCCCCTTAAAAAATCAATCCCCAAAGCCCTCACGGGCCCCTTATTCAGGGCAGCTTTTCGGTATCCAGAAAACCGACTTTTGCGTACCTGAGTTTGTTCGGTGTTTCAGTCCTTGCAAGTGGTGCCTTTGAGGGTAGAAATTTCGCACAAGGAGCGTTGTGACTGCAACACCTCAAACGATTAACTTGCTCAGTGATCTAGCTACCCCCATCGGGTCCAACAAATACCACAAGCACCCCCACTGGTGTCTTGGACGTGATTGGATGTGTAGGTTCCCCAGTAACCGCGTAATAACAAGGGCAACCTTCTCCTGATGTTCAGGTTTCGGAAGCAGACCTGAAACAAAAAGGAAGAAAGGGTACTTCTGGGGTACCTGGATATGCGCGATCAGTCTTTTGGAGCCTAGGGGTGAAACTCGGAAGGCCCCTGCTTCAGACACAGGTGAAGACCAGCAAGTCATCACGACAAACAACAACTCCAACAGCAGCAGACCCCATCTTTGAGCAGTCACACACTTCAAAACTGCGCCTCGTCCCGCTGCAGCCCAAAGCATCTAAATTCTGGCTAAAATTCGAGCATGATCGACTCTGAACTCTCAGTGCCTTTGAAGCCCTAAGCTGGGTTGCCACGAAGGCGCTTAGAACAAGTTATCCTGCTACGGAACCCGTACTATCTGATGCATCTCCACATTGCTATAAATCTATTTGAATTCCCTCGACCTCGATCCAGTAAAGCCCAAAGAGGGTTGCTGGGCAGTTTGCTTTCAACACAAACCCTGGATGCCAATAATCCCACTGCACGTTCTGACTGCAGCTCGCGTAGCCCGATATCTGGAACTTTGGCCCCAGCGCCTTCAATGACTTTCTGCTTCGACACGCTAAAACCCTAAACCCTAAACCCCTAAGGGTATGTGGTGTCAACAGGCTCAAGATACGCCTTTGCCTCAGGAACGAGACTGCACTCTTTGAGGCAATCCGAGCCGAGAGCCTTAGCCGATCTGTCTTCAAGTAGAGTTTTGAGGGGGGCTCAGGGTGTTATAGGCTTCATAGGTTTTAGATGGTTCACAGGCTTCACAGGGGTGTATTATTTGGAACAAGTAGTATGTAGAACAATTGTATTGTTGATATTTGCCTTGTGGGTTTTGGGCCATTATTCTGCCGGCTCTGGCGGTGCAGGTGTGGTTTGAGTAAGCTGGAGTTGGGAGTGCCGGGGGTTTTTCTTACGGTAGTGCTACCAGAGGTTGGCGCTCAGCATTCGCATGATAGGGAGCTCGTTTAACTGCGCTTGTCGTTTGAACACCTCAGCTTCATTTCAATTGAGGGGGCTGTGCAAACGAAGGGACGTTCAAGAAGAATGGACCTCAAGTTGACTGTATCCATCTCATATTTCTTCTTGATTCATGTTTAGGAAGTGAACCACACATGGAAAGGCCGTGAATGCAAATGCTTGAAAAATTGCCTATGCTATCCCCTGAGAAGCCTTATTCATTCATAATGTACGAAACCCCAACACTCCCCTACATTAGAGGCAAAAGCAAGGCGTGGCAGCCAAAGGCAAAACGGCCAACAACAATAATCATGACGAGTGCGATATTGCCCCGGAATGCACGCAACAGTGGTATAGCAGGTCGTTTCTAAACAATAGGGATTGACATTTCGGGCTTAAGACTCAGCATGTAGGGCTTGGAGGAAAAGCCTTGAACCAATATACCAGCATGTTAATATGAGCCACTGTCTAAACTCCTAGTATCCCCCTTAATATCCCCTATAGTAGTCCCCTATATAATCCCTTATATAGCCCCCTTTAAGGAGTTTAGACTATGGCTCATATTATGTGGTATAATGGATAGCATGGTCTGGTTCCTTATCAAACCGCCTTGTGAATGCCCGTCTTGGAAACGGGAACCCGCGCAAATGTAAAGGAATTCCTGTTCCAGGAAACTCCCATATCAAGGGCGGGTTAGAGCTGCCTCCAGATGAATAACTGCTGTAGGGGCCGGACTTGACACCTGCAACGCACACACATCCCTATATACCTCCCTGCGGAGCTGCATGCCCAATACACAGAAAAAGCGGGACTCTTCTTGCATGCAAGTATCACTTGAGGCAGCAAGGTGGATCCTGGACAACAGATGCGAAGCAGATCTCGCGGCGAAAGGACTTGCTTTGCATCCGTTGTCCAGTAGCCACTTTGTTGACTCCACGTTCCTAGCAGCGCTCGGGTTTAGGGCTTTCGGTCTGCGTGGAGTCTCCACTTTTTTTTTTTTTTTTTTT